TACATTCTATACATTAATCTATATTGCCATATTAATCATTGTAAATACAATCTAACATATGACACAACATAGATACTTTGGCTAAATTCTAATTTCTTTCTAACGTTCTTAATTAAACTTTTGGCCAATACAAAATATTCTCAAGATCTTCTATCACAATTCTATAGCTTGTAATATATAATAAGGCATGAAAACTATACGCATACCAATCAATTTCTAAAATGGTCACGTATTTAATACATAAACCAAACTTCTATTTCTTTGATATTTCTTTTGATATCTATACTTGGGAAAGCTTTTCTATTTTTATACAATAAAATCACTTATTACATATTGTTTGTAACTAATCTCAAAACAAGAAACAACAATATACTCATTTGGCCAAGCCATTATTTGGATGATCTTTCTAATTTTAAGCATACAAGCTTGACAACTTATTGTGACATATTGTAATATTCTAATATAATCACTCATCTTTTACTATCATCAATACTACACTATTGCAACAATTTAATATGCAATTCTTGCCATCACTTTCTAAAGTCATAGGTTTCAAAACTCATAATTCAATGACAACATACAATATGCCATTCAAACTAATGCTAAAAGTTCAAGCAACTTGAACCATGCACTAAAGGCCATTCATTTCAATAAACTAACATCTAAATTTTGGCATAACAAAATGCACTCTTAAACACTTTAACTTATACTTGGTCAAGTCTAATACAACCTTTTAACATCAATTCTTTCCTTTCTCAAACAATATCTTCAACGATATTCAACAAATTTATGCATGCATTTCTTTTTGAATTTTCATCAAACAATTTACATGCACATACAAGTACTTGGTTGGCCACACTTCCACATCTCTCAAGTACCTCAAAATTGGAACAAAACTCACCAAAAACTCAACTCCTAATCTAGCCGAAATCATCATTCCAACATTCCATCAATACTTCTTCCATATTTCATCTATAATTCACCAAATCATCACATACAAATGAACTACTCTTCATGGCTGAACTTTTACACATCATTCAAGCATTTAAATGGCCAACAATTCTCACCATACATCATATACAACCATACAATAATCAACAATTACAATTATGGCTCAAAACAAGGCTTAAGTTTGATTCAGTTATCTTTTTCTTGCAAGAATCCTTTTCTTTGCTTCCTTTGCTCACTTTTTCAATTGATTCATGCTAAAACACATAAATTCATGAGAACTCATACTTATAAAACACAAATCACAAACTTTTGCTAAAATTATTACCTTAGAAAGCCATAAAATGAACATATATCCACTTAGGCATGAATTCTCATGTAATTCTCTTGGAAGACTTTGAAGAAATGGAAGAGAAATGGAAGAAGAGAGTGGCTGGCGTTTTTGGTGTTCAAATGGTTAGGGTTTTTTCAATTGAAGCCTTATAATTATATATAAATATATTCCCATTTTTCTCTTGCACTTTTATGATAATTTCAATTATGCCATATGTGCATTTACCGATATATCCTCACTTTCAATGGATTTAGTACATGTTCTTGGTCATTTTCACTTCCCATCATAAACTCTAATTATGAGTGAAAAGACCATTTTACTCTTATTCTTTAATTTCTTCCTATTACTTTACAAACACGTATTTATCTCAACATCAAATCACGTGTATTTTCCATAACCTTTCTACCACTTTATTCTCATGGATAGCACACTTAATACATTATATTTTTCATACCCACTTTTCACTTGAACACATGATTCTATGTGAAATGACCATTTTGCCCCTATTGAAACTTTTATGGAATTCCTCGTTCCTGGTTTCATAGAGTTGCCTAAATGAAGATTTTTCATAGCATGACCTTGTTCCAAATGATCATGCAATCTTCTATCAAGATTGTGTCAAGTCGCTCGCAATGGCATGATAAGCTGCACGATTGTTCCACCCAAGTGAAGAGTCAAGACGTTCAAATTCAGATGTTTTCACGCCTTTGACAAGTTTTGAAGACCCAGCTTTGAAGATCAAGTTAAAGTACAAGTGTTTCAAGCAGAACGATCATGTCACACGACTGTTCCCACTCAAAGATTGTTCTTGGGAGTATGACATCATTCCAAAAAGTCATTCATGGCTCTGAAATTTTTATGGATTTTAAGAAGCCAATGGACTGATCGTTCCACATGGTGGAATAACCATTTGCGATGGTGGAATGCTTACTCAAGATGGTGGACTGATCATTCCACAAACCCTAGACTGAGCAAAAGATCCATTATCTTGGGAATGATCATTCGTGATGGTGGAACGCCCGTTCTTCTAGGTACTACAACTTTTCAAAGTTGCATTAAATGTAGCAACGACTCTTTACTTCAAAGGGGAGAGACAAGCAATAAATAGAGTGTTTTATTGCAAAGAAAGATAGAGAGAATATTAGAGAAAAAAAAGTCTTATAAAAAACATTCTCACATAATCCCTTGAGCTAAAAGTCCAAATCATTATCACTCTCTTGTACTCATATTGAAAACCTTTGAGAGTATTGTTCTTATTGTGTGTTTAAGCCTAGTTTATAAGGCAATCACTCACAAAATTTATTCAAACATCTTGTGGATGAAATCCTTGTAAATCTAGAGGCAAAACCTTGTCAAAATATTGTAAGAGGCAAAATCCCATCAAACTAGTGTAAAGGGCGCAATCCGATTCTAGTGGAACTTCAAGGAGGTTTCCTTGAAGAAGTGGATTAGAAGGCTTGTGGATATAGCTCTAAACCATTATAAATTTTTGAGCATTTCTTCCATCTCAACTCTTTTATTATTTCCTTGCATATTTATTACTCGAACATCATTATCAGTTGTTCTTATTCATTGCTCATATTTATTGCTTTCTCATTTATTGCTCACCATTGTTTATCTTTATTGATCATTGTTGAGTTGTTCAATGAATAAATCTATATAATAGGGATGAAATAGGAAAGAATCTGTAGAATAGGAAATTAGATTATTATAGTTTATTATGTTTACAATTATAGAGTAATGTAACAAGTATATATAGATGTACTTTTTTCATCAATGTATCAAGAAATACACTAGTAGTATTCCTTCTATTTTCCTGGTTTCACATGAAATCAAAGTTAGGAAATCAGAATTTTTAAACTGTGTATTTTCTTGTGTTTGTTTTCCAGCGAAGCTTAGATTGTTCTCCTTTCCGTGTTGGATCAAAGATCTGACAACACCAGTCTGCTCGTCTCTCTATCATTGGAAAAACCCAGGAAGCACTTAACCATTCGCCGCTGTATACGCCTCCATGTGCCGAACATTTTCTTGGCAACTTCCTTCTCTGGTCTACATCTCCGGTGAGTGTGAGATCTCACCGCCGACACTAGTGAACTCAAATGACACCGATGAGTAAAACCCCTAAATTTCCATCACTGTTTAATGCCATCCGACATCATCACCGTTATTGTTCCATCACCATTACCATTTTGTTATTGTTCTGTCACTGTCACCATTTTCTGTTCAGATCTGTTTCCTTTATCTCATAATGGCATCTTTAGACGGATCTAGCTCTAAATCAAGTTCTTTCTCCTTTTTATCTCTCCCTCCAATCACAACTGCTAAATTAATAGGGAGTGCTAATTATACCTCTTGGGTTGCCTTTGTTGAATTGTGGTGTATGGGACAAGGCTTGGAGGATCATTTGACCATTAAGGCTACAAATGTAAAAACAAATAATTCTACTTGGTTTAAAACTGATGCTTTGTTATGTAGTCTATTATGACAAACAATTGACCCTCAACTTCATCCCATTTATGAAACTTTCAAAACCTGTGTTGAGGTGTGGAGTCATGCTAGATTACTTTATACTAATGATGTCCAAAAGCTATATTCTATTGTGTCCAACCTGGTTAATCTGAAATGGCAGGATTTGAGCATGTCATAATTTCTTGGTATGATGGCCTCTCTTAAGGCAGAATTTAACTTATTGTTGCCCGCGGGTAGGTCTGCAACAAAAGATCTGGCACAACAAGATAAGTTTTTCATGGTTCTGACCCTTATTGCTATCAACCCTAATCTTACTCTAGTACGAGATCAGATTTTGGCCAGTGTTACTTTGCCTTCTCTAGATGAAGTGCTCGCTCGCTTTCTTCATGCCTCCTCTTGTAGTGTTGTGGCAGGATCTCCCTTTGTTGACTCTTTAGTTTTGGCTTCTCAGTCGCAAAATACTTATAGAAAAGAGCATAGAGACCATGGTGGCAGGGGAGGTCGACCTAAGTATAGTTACTGTAATCGGTGGGGACATGCCAAGGTAAAATTCTACAAATTGCATGGTCGCCCTACTATGGCTAGGGCTGTGCAAAAAAATCCGATATCCGATATTCGATCCTGATCCGGTCCGCTCCGATCCCAAAAAATCGGATATCCTAAAATTCGGATCGGATACGGATCGTTATTTAAAAAAATCAGAATATTCGGATCGGATACCGGATCAAGATTGTTAAAAAATCGGATATCCGTATCCGATCCGGATTTTACTAAACTACGTCGTTTTTAGTTTTAAAATAACCCTAACAGTCTAACACAATTAACTCAACTCTCTCACTCTCAGTCTCTCTCGCTCGAACATGCACAGACACACAGTCACTCAAACTCTCTCAGACCAGATCTCATCTCAGTCTCTCACTCTCTCTCGCTCAACTCTCTCGGTCTCTCTCCCTCTAACACGCACAGACACAGACACACAGTTAGTCAGCCACTCAAACTCTCTCAGATTCAGATCTCAGTCTCTCTCGCTCGAACACACACAGTGGCACAGACACAGACACACAGTCACTCAAACTCTCTCAGACTTAGATCTCAGTCTCTCTCGCTCGAACACTCTCAGATCTCAGTCTCTCTCGCTCAACTCTCTCAGATCTCAATCTCTCTGACGATTGAAGCCCCAAATTGATCATAAGTAAATTTCTTTAGAATTTAGATTTGCTGAATTTTATAGGCTGAATTTTAATTGCAGACTTTATGTCTGTGCTAAATGTTTACATTTAGTACTTAGAAAGCAAATTGTTTTGGTGGGTTATTTTTCATAGACACTTATACAAGGCATGCCATGTGTTTGATTAAATGTTCCAATCAATTCAGTTTATCAACTTTTTCATGTTGTGTATTACCTGTTTGACAAAATGTCCCAACAAACAATGGGACTTCACATGTTTGGTTGAATCGGAAATTTCAAAAAAAAATTCAGAAGTATGAATCGCTACTCATTTCTTAACAATTTATACCCATTTCCGCATTTGATACAGGTAGCGGGATAATTGAGAAGTTGGAATTTAATGGAGGAGCCAACATTTTTCAATAGAATGATCACTCATCTTCGCACAACCTGCAAGTATGAATAGTACTTTATTTCCGTTATCTTTTATTTTTTTTTTAGTGCCATTAAAGTATCCTTTTATGTGAAATATTTCCACATTTTTTTAGTTGAATAATGTACCAGTTATTAGTTGAGTTTTTCATAAGTAATATAGCAGGGAAGTTCTTTTCTTCTATTTTTGATAAAATGTTTTGAGTAGGAAAACGACATGCCTGAATAACAATGAAATATTATGCTATAAAATTCCTTACGCAATTAATTTTGTTGTTAATCTTAAAAGTTGTTTATTGAAATGGTTTATTTGTTTTGTTTTGTTTTGTACAGGAGGATGATGACGAGTAGGAATTGGCAATGAAGATAGCAATTTGGGCTGTGACAGTGTTTGGACAACATAGGTTAAATGTTTTGTGCTTCATGTTAATTTTTTTAGATACTTTTATCATGTAAGGGAATTATAATTTCAATTTTTTTGCTAGAATTATTTGATTTTAATAAGAAAATTTTAAAATTCGGATCAATTTCGGATATCCGTAAAATCGGATATCCACATAATTCGGATCGGATTCGGATCAGGATATAGCCTAATCCAAAAATTCGGATCGGATTAGGAAAAGCCCTATTCGGATCGGATATTCGGATTTGAACAGCCCTAACTATGGCCACCAATGTTGTTCAAATTGATCACTCTGATCTTCCTTTAGAATCTTTTGAAGGACACATTCAGCCATCCTTGACTCTCACTAGTGCTGATTACGAAGAATATCTCAACTATCAAGCAAATAAGCAGTCTTCCTCATCTGTTGCCTTCATAGCTCACTCGGGTAATTCAGTTGCATGCCTCACTCAGTCTTCCCCTTTACGACCTTGGGTACTTGATTCTGGTGCCTCTGATCATATTTCTAGTAACCCTCATTTACTTTCTCATCTCACTAATGCTACATCTATGCCTTCTGTTACTATGGCTAATGGGTCCAAAACAGTTGTTAAAGTAGTGGGTCATGCACATCCACTTCTTTTCTTGGCCTTAGACTCTATTCTTATATTCCTAATTGTCCTTTTAATCTTATGTCTGTCAGTAAACTTACACAGTCTTTAAATTGTTTTATCACTTTTTACAATACTTCTATTATTATACAGGACCGAAGACACGGGATAATGATTGGCACAGAACATGAGTCACAGGGCCTCTCCTCTACCATCTCAATTTACCTTCTACCCCTATAGCATGCACTGTTTTTGAATCTCCTGTTCTCCTTCATAATCGTTTTGGTCATCCCAATTTATTGAAGCTTCAAAAGGTGATTCCAAGTCTATCTAATTTATCGTCTTTAAGTTGTGAGTCGTGTCAGCTTGGGAAACATTCTCATAGTTCTTTTCCCAAGCATGTCAATAAACGAGCTCCGTCCCCTTTTGAGTTAGTTCATTTAGATGTGTGTGGTCCTTGTCGTGTTTCTTCTATTTTGGGTTTTTAGCATTTTGTTACATTTATTGATGATTATTCTCGCTGCACTTGGTTATTTTTAGTGAAAACTCATTCTGAATTATTTTCCATATTTGAATCCTTTTGTGCTAAAATTAAGACACAATTTAATACTATTATTCATATGTTGTAGAGTGATAATGCTCGTGAATACTTTTCTACCCCTTTTAAAAATTTCATGTCCTCCTAGGGAATCCTCCATCAGTCATCTTGTTCTTAAACCTCACAACAAAATGGGGTTGTTGAGCGTAAGAATAGACATCTCATTGAAGCTGCTCGCACTATGCTTTTACACAATCAGGTTCCTTTCTAGTTTTGAGCAGACACTATGCTGACCGCTTGTTTCTTGATTAATCAGATGCCTTCTTTTGCCCTACAAAACAAGATACCTCATTATGTTTTGTTCCTTGACCAATGTTTATTCTTTCTTCCTCCCCGTGTCTTTGGTTGCACTTGTTTTGTCCACGTCTTCTCCCTTGGTCAGGATAAACTATCTACCAAATGTATTTTCCTAGGCTACTCGCATCTTCAAAAAGGTTACAAGTGTTACTCTTCCACAACACATCGATATTTTATATCTGCTGATGTTACATTTTTTGAGTCTTCTCCCTTCTTCTCTTCATCTCCAGCAGAACATGACTCTATAACTGAGGTCCTTCCCGTCCCATAAATTGCTCCCCTTCTTGGTTAGTCGTTTGAGTCTGTCCTTGTACCACAATGTTCTTCACCTACGATAGAGTCTCTTCCTACAGCTGATATTCTTGTTCCTCTTACAAGTACTAACATTATCCCTGATATTGTTCCTAAGTCTCCTATTACTACTCTTCTTGCTCTAGGTTCCTCTCATGCCATGATCCTTCCTCCTGATGATCAATTTCCCATTACAAGTCGTAAGGGTATGCAGTCCACTCGCAATTATCATCTGATCTATAATTTCCTTAGTTATCATCGCTTATCTTCACCATATTTTGCTTTTATGTCCACACTTTCATCTGTTTCTGTTCCCTCCCATGTTTATGAGGAGTTGGCTGACCCTAGATGGCATCAGGCAACAATTGAAGAGATGATTGCTCTGGATAATAATAGCACTTGAGAATTGGTTCCTTTACCTCCAAGCTAGTTGATTGTTGGTTGTTGCGGGATTTATACTATTAAAATTGGTCTGGATGGCTAGGTTGATTGATTAAAGGCTCATTTGGTAGCAAAAGGGTACACTCAAACTTATGGGTTGGATTATTATGACACATTTTCCCCTGTGGCTAAGATCTGTCCGCTTGTTCCTATCTATGGCTACCATCCGACAATGGGCTATTTACCAATTAGACATTAAGAATGCATTTCTTCATGGTGAGCTTAAAAAAGAAATCTATATGGAGCAACCGCCTGGCTCTATTGCTCAAGAGGTAAACTTCATTGCTCACTGTATGGCTTGAAACAGTTTCCTCGTGCCTGGTTTGGATGTTTTAGTACCGTTATCCAAGAATTTGGTATGGTGCGGTTTGAGTCTGATCATTCAGTTTTCTATAAACATACATCACTAGAGCAATGCATCTATCTGGTTGTTTATGTTGATGATATTGCCATTATAAGAAGTGATCAAGATGGTATTGAACAATTGAAGAAACACTTGTTCAGCCACTTTCAGACCAAAGATTTGGGGTTACTTAGATACTTCCTTGGCATAGAAGTTGCTCAATCCAACGTTGGTATTGTTATCTCTCAAAGAAAGTATGCATGGATATCCTGGAAGAAACATGGTTGTCAGATTGTAGACCGATAGACTCTCCTATGGATCCTAATTTAAAGCTCTCACCTAGACAAGGAAAGCCTCTTATTGACCCCCGAAGATACCAAAGACTGGTTGGTAAGCTTAATTATCTCACTATCAGACGACCTGATATATCCTTCTCTGTCAGTGTAGTTAGTCAGTTACTACAGTCTCCATGTGATAGTCATTGGGATGCAGTTGTTCAAATTCTAAGGTATATTAAGGGTGCACTCGGCAAAGGTTTGTTATATGAAAACATTGGTCATACATAGATTGTCGGGTATTCTAATGTTGATTGGGCAGGTGCTCCATCTAATAGACATCCCACTTCAGGTTTTTGTGTTCTTGTTGGGGGGAAACCTTGTTTCTTGGAAAAGTAAGAAGTAAGATGTTGTTGCTAGATCAAATGCGGAGGCAGAATATCATGCAATGGCCTTAGCAACTTGTGAGCTCATTTGGTTGAAGCAACTAATCCAAGAGTTAAAATTTGCAGAAGTATCACAGATGAAGTAACTTTGCGATAATCAAGCTGCTTTCCATATTGCCTCTAACCTAGTGTTTCACGAGAGGATTAAGCATATAGAAATTGATTGTCATTTTATTCGAGAGAACATTTTGTTCGGTTGTATTACCACGAGTCATGTTAGCTCAAACTACCAACTAGCGGATATTCTCACTAAACCTCTTGGGGGTCCTCGTATTGGTTTTATTTGTTGCAAGCATTATGCATATGATTTATAGGCTCCAACTTGAGGAGGAGTGTTTAGTTGTACAAGGAATAAATTTGTATAATAGGGATGCATCAGTAGAATAGGAAATTAGATTATTACAGTTTATTATGTTTACAATTATAGAGTAGTGTAACAAGTATATATAGATGTACTTTTTTCATCAATGTAACAAGAAATACACAAGTACTATTCCTTCTATTTTCCTGGTTTCACAATCATTAACATTCTCTTTTAATTGCTTATCAATGTTGTTGATTTAAGTTCATAACTTGTGTGGTTGGTGAAAGTTTTTATTCTGCAATTTTTTTCATTGATTCCTATTCACCCCCTTGTAAGAATATTTGCCATATTTAGGTTTCACAAGAACTATTTATATGAGGGATTCGTATCATAAGGGAGATATAATTCTTAATTAAAGTCATAAAGGTTCATAACCTATAAATAAAGCTGGACACTTTATAAGGAAGGTTGAATCATAGCGTTGAAAAACCCTACCGGAAGGTAGCAACTGATCTCACACATCAAGGTTGTTTTGTGACAACTTGATGCGACACATAGGTGCTTGTTATTCACAAGTTCACCGAATTGACCCATTAGAGGATTGTATATAAATGGTAATACCAATGTCCAAGGAATACATCATCTAACAGATGGTGATGCATGCGGTCCTTAGACTTAAGATCACTAGAGCACCATGTGTACCTATTGGTGTAGTTTGACTCTCATGCCACCTCCTGGGTATTCCCTATCCCATCGGATCCGGGCACTACGAGGGACTTAGGATCCTAAGAGGAGGGTGGATTTTTCAAAAACAGTTTATAAAATCTATTCATAAAACTTTAATGACTATAGTACAACTTAAAATATAATTATGAAAGTGTAAACATTAGAAATCAGTTTACATAAAAACAGTGTATTAGAGTGTTCTAATATGTACAAACATCATGTCGATGAACATGCATTTGTGGCCAACCGAAAGCGTGTTGCATGCTATGAAGCTCGGTGAGTGGATAATACAATTTATAAATGAAAATAACTTTAACCTTAAACTTGCATGAGCGAACACTTGCAACTTCACAAAACACATAATCATTCCCTTACCAAAACCACACTTTCCTTTTTATAATTTCCGGAAACGATAAATCCTTAATTCGTATCCTTGTACAAACTTCCCCATTTACCATGGATCAATGAATTATTTTCACAACAATCGATACACCCATAATCAAAGCTGAGTAGGCACTTCCCAACACAAACCCCACTCTTACTCACCAATGCCCACTAAGTGTTTACAGTTTCCACTTAGCCTATACTCGCTGGATAATCATAAATTCCACCCCATCCTATACCCACTGGATGATAACCAACTCTCCTCACATCG